TAACGTTGCTTTTATCTAGAAAGAATATAGGATCAGATATTGTAATTGACAGATTTTAAAATCTGTAAAAATTCTTACAATGATTCAATTTCTTTTTAATTTTGAGTATTTTCCTACAATTCAACCTGTACCTCCTGCACAATACGTTTCAGCAGTATAAATATTGGCTAATGGCATATCAGTTAGTGGGAGGGGAAGTTATATTTGTTTCTGCTGAATCATTCTCGGATTACGTATGTTGCCAGTTCCTTGTAGCATACTTGCGACCTTAGATCATAGGCTTCTGTAGTTCACATTGCATACTCTGACTTGAGTCGTCTCTATGTACTTTCAATGGTCTCAATTCGTTTGGAAGATGAAACTGAAAGGTAGTGTGAGATACAGTTCATTTTGACAGTGGTCACGACGGAAGCTCTGAGAGTGAAATCGACGAAGAACCATTATCTTCATCGACAACCTGGGGACCACCACACCAACATGACAGAAGGGGTGTGAATAACTTTTTCCGGTGGAGCAGTGGGGATAAATCTCAATGAAGCTCCACATGTAAATAATGATTCCTCCAACTCTGCGTTTTCATGCTTTACTTTGCGGGAATTATCCAGCTGCTGGTGGAAGAGACTAACAGATATTATCACCAGGACCTAGACAGACTTGAAGACGGACCTTCTCCACGCCCTGATGGTACAGACTCCGAGATGTCTCTGTTTCTAGGAATCATCATTCAAATGGGACATAATATAAGGACTACTGGTCAACTGCTGAGCAATTTTGCACGCCTTTCTACATCAACACAATGAAACGCGAGCGTTTTCTTCACATTCTTCGTTTCATTCATTTTGCAGATAACAATACAGAAATTGACAGGAATGCCGACAGTTATGTCCGACTATGGAAAATTCGGACCATCTTCAATACTATAAATGAAGCATATCAAAAATAATGTAATCCTTCTGAACATTTGTCTGTTGATGAAATAATTGTCAAATTCAAAGGAGGGTGGTTTTCAGACAGTGCATTCCTAAAAAAACACAAACGTTTCGGAATCAAAATCTACAAACTCTGCGACGCTGTTGGGTATACTTATGACATGAAGGTTTACTTAGGGAAAGACAGGACATGTGGCGACCAAGACGTGACAGGGACATGTGCTACAGCTCTGAAGAAGGGTTGAGGGAGTAGGCCACAAACTGTACATGGACAATTTCTTTTCATCACCACACTTGTTTGACAAACTAACAACAGAGAAAGTTGCTGTAGGACATTCAGACCAAATCGGAAGGGCCTGCCTCAAGAATTTCGCGACAACTTCAATCAAAGAAAGATGACATTCGGGTTACGGTGAGAGGGGACATGACAGCACTAGTTTGGAAGGATAAATGTGAGTTCATTTGTTGATAAACATGCACTCCCCTCCAGTGTGATGTAACTTACTAAGACTTGTTTTAATGTAATGAAACCAATGACAACCAATTAGGTAATCGTAATATAATGAAACGTAGAAACACAGAATGTATTAGGAAACAACATATTATAAGTGCTAACATTTTCGGTATTATATAACGAAGAAACCAATGTAATTTAACAAGCTACTGCAACTATTGTAATATTAAGAGTGTACCTAGGACCAAGAGTTGGAGGAAACCATATGTAAGCAGTATATCAGACCAGAACAAGAGACGCTTTGAAGAAGCTTTTAGCCAAGAGTTTAAGTAACCCAAATATCTCTGGTCCATTACCATGAATCTGTCAGGACCCTCCATCCGGGGTCTTCCAACAAGGAAACCGTACTACGCGTATTTATGTATGACAGTCTGAAATGTATTTTGTACTTTAAAGGTACTATAGGATTAATCTGGGGTTGAGATACAAACCAAAAGCTCTGCCTCATGTTCGAGCTAATGCTCTAAGAGCTCTGTTTATTGTCACCTTGATGCACCGCTAACCCTAATGCATTGTGGAAGGGAAACGTGAGCACATTCCTCTCAGCAACGCCCAGTGTGGTCCTATAAGACGGGACGTGTGTAAAGACACGCACGGTTTGAGACTTCTGCCTCACCCTTGTGTGAAATATGCTGAACATGCCACGAGGAGTCCAGCTCCTGCAATGTCATCTACAATATGTCGAGTAGAGGAAGCCAATCAACATCACTGGCCAACTTCCTCAACCAAGAGACTGAACTGTCGCGTGCGCTCTCCACGTGGAAAGAGGAGAAATATCCTAACAAAGTGCATAAAATGTGACCTTGGACTCGGCATTTTCGGGTGTTTCCAGGGGTACCACATGAAGACTAGATTCAGTTAGATGATGCAGGAGTGAAGTCTGTTTACTTATCAAGCTGATGTCAAAAAAGAATGAAGTAAAACAAAGATTATTATCCTAAAATAAGTTTTTCAAAACATTGTGCACGCGCGTGGACTACACGTCCTGTATGGTACACTTCGCCTACAATGACTACACTTTAAATGTCCTATATGGCGTACTTCGTCTCTTGAAGGTGAGCCAAAAAAAAAAAAAGTGTCATGTTGTCAGCCTAACAAATCCCGATGCCATTAATTTTGGTTTCCTAAACCGGAGCCGCTATTTCCTTGAGATAGCTCCTCAATTATCCTCACGAGGCTGAGTGGACCCTGTTCCAGGCCCACTACTCAGAAAATCTGCCATCAACGGGAAACCTTTGGATCTGTAGCCAGGAACCCTGACTACAAATTTGCCCGGCCATTTTTAACTTCTGCCAGAATTTCACCCAAGTCTTCCAAATAGCATGGAAAATTAAACTTGCCACCTTATAAATGAACCCTAATTTAATGTTCCTTGATTTAACACACTGAGGACGAGTCGCATGATGATATGCTTTTGGCTTTTAAACATGGCAGACCGGTCGCATGATATCATGATTTTAGGACACGTTAGTTTGTAACACACTATACCTTGCTCTGGCGTTGCCCAAGTTGCACGCAATGGCTAGTAAAACTCTGGAACATTTGCTTACTTGTCAGTAACTTGATCTCGCTGTTGTCTTACGCCACTATAAATGAAAATGCTTTGCTGCTCTTCGAGGTGTATATCAGCCAGTAGTTAGTGGTGGGGTAAGGACAAGGACAAATTTTTCTGCGATGAGCCAGCTGACCTGCCTTCTGAGAGGTGTATTTACGGTGACTGAGAGAGCGGGCAGCAGTGACAGGGGAGAACAAAGAATTGTAGCCACATACAGTAAAGGTGACAGTAGCTCTGACGATAATGGGGGTAATAACATTGCAGGGACAGTAAAAAAATCTAACCTTGTTCAAAATTGAAATACAAAGCATTTCTGATGAATGTCGCAAAGGCATCAGCTACAGACCAGATGGTGGCAGCAGAACCAGATTCAGACACAGACTTAGTGCAACCAGGCCCATCAACTCCCACCCCACGCAGGCCTCATGTGGACCCCCCCCCAGGGCGACTCTCGGGTGATATACGGAAACATACCATGAAAACTGTGAAGAGTGAACATTCCAAGGGAAGCATCCTTCTAGGCAATGCCATGTTTCCACAATTCACAAAAAAAAAAAAAAAGGAGTATGTCTATATTTGCAAGTTCTGTGTAATGCCACTTCACAAAGGGGAATGTTTCCAGAAATATCACACCCTCACACACGTCTAGGAAGACTGGTGTTCTCCAAAAATTTTAACTCATAAAATTAATTAGGAGAATTTATATTAATTTTTAAAATGAGCATTGGTGGTCGCCAAGAATTCTAGTTCATAAAATGAATTAGGAGAATTTAAATTAATTTTTAAAATGAACAGTGCAAGTGTTACGATAGTAGGTTTAAGATCTCTTCCTTCATTTAACATTCAATTTCAATGATCCCAGCATTAAATTTCATCCTTTTACGATATTCCTCAATTTGGTGTTCAAACCCATTCAGATCCACAGATTCCAAAAGAAACCTTAAATGGCAGGTTGAATGTGTTCATTTCATGCAGTCTGTGAAGAAAATACATAAAAACCATGACACCCAGAACAAAATCCTTCTGTCAGAAGGATGGCAGGGAAATATTTCAGGACAACTTCAACCATAGATCACTTCCTTCAGTAAATATAGGCATAACACGTCAGTATATTGTGACCTCCTTTAGAACCCAACAAGGGTGTCCTTGTGATGTGAAATAAACATATATCAATTGCAGATTATGTCATGAACAAATTTTCCAAAAGACACCAATTATCACATGATCACTAACCTACAGTTCATTTCTATTAGAACTTGCAAGTCTTGCTAATGGAGGCTGTCAATTTGGAGAGCTCTTTCATTGTTGGGTCTTTTTCCATAGCAGTAATTTTAAACATATAAAGCTAAATTACATAACTCTATGCAAGTCATAAAATAAACACAATAAACATCAAAACAGAACTAATATTGTCTCTCATGATATAAATACTACAGTAACATTCTGCTTCAGCTGAAATTACACATTCTAACAACAGTGAGAATGCAGTGAACTTCTTAATGTCTCTGTAAACTCTATTACAGTTGCATATCAGACACAAACTGTACTGTTGTTATTTTAACATATACTGAATATATCATTTTCACTTTCTGTTGGTCGTGTGTGCAGCACCATCTTCAGAGACAATGTTAGGACCTGTCTTGAGGCTGAAATATTTGGTGCATACATCTCAAAATTATCTTATTCTGTGGCAGACAAATTAATTCTTTAACTGTATGAAGGTCCTGTGTTCAGTTCTATTGCTGATTAGGATTTTCTTTTATAACTGTATTTATGTGTTTATAGACTCCCCAATGCCATATTTTTTGTATACAATTTCTGCTATAAATGAAACAGTTACATTCTTGAAAAATTGAGTTACCACAACAAGGTGTTCGACAGGAAATGCTTCTCCTACATTCTTGAAAAATTGAGTTACCACAACAAGGTGTTCGACAGGAAATGCTTCTCCCTGTGCCATACCTCTAGAGCACATTGTGCCCGTCTGTCATATGCTCGTCTCAGCTACAAGTGTACCATAACATTTGCTGCCAAAGTGCTTATAAACATGAATTACAAATGAACTGACTGTACTAACTTTCTAAAGCCAAAATGATTATGGCAATAAATATGAAACAGAATTAAATCTGCAACAGTGAATTTGTAACCTACAAATAATTTTTTCCACTTTGGTGCTTTCTTCAGGATTAATCTCCCATCTACAGCACTGTTCTCTGATCATCTGATCTTAACATGAAGAGATTGAAAAAAAAAATTGTTGAAAAATGTGTAGCACTTAATGGGTTCAAATACTCTTGGCAGGACCTAAATTAATTTTTAAGAATTCAAGTCTGTCATCAACAGTAAACACAATTTCTCCGCACGTCCTGCAACACATTTATAATGAAAAGTGAGGTACAATGTTACTACTCACTTTTATCCTCATTCCAAACTAGCAGCTATGGGGCTAGCTTTGTACTTCAAAGATTAAGGTTTCATTCTTGGCCCAGAAACCAGCTATCCTGAAATGAAGAAAAGTTTCTCAAGGTTTTTCTCAGTTATCTCCAGGCATCTACCATAAAATAAGCCATTTCTAATTTCTGCTATGTCTACCAATTTGTCATTCTCTCACAATAACATAAACACTTATGCACAGTACACATCATGCCATGTATACCCCCAGCAGTGCCCTTTTCTTTCAGCTGAACTACTATCCTCTAAAATTTCAAATGGGACCTCAAGTCAGCATAGTGATAGGCAATGGGCTAGACAAGAAGGAATTGGAGTTAAATTCCTGGAACAGGCAATTCTTTTCTGCATAACATCCACACCAGCTCTCAGGCCCACCCAGCCTCCTATACAATGGGTACCAGGGGCTGTTTTCCTGGAAGTGGAAGAGGCATGAAGCTGACCACTCACTCCATCTAATGCAGAGGTCAAGAATGGTGGAGCTATACCTCCAAATTTTCCATCATGGTGATTCATTAATTAGGCTTAGGGATATCTTTACTTTTAAACTTCACCTTTACAACTTCAAGTATTACTAGTACCAATAAAAGTCTGCTTTTAATACCTCTGGTCTAAACAGTAATTGTTTCTTAGTCAATGTTGCAGTGCCAGCAGGAAAAGTCAGTAGTATGAAATAAGAAATGAAAAGGTGGTTATGTACAGGTTGAAGCAGCTATTTTTTTCATTATTATTATTATTATTATTATCATCATCATCAATTCTAACTGCAAATGGGTTTTAACCGGGTGGCAGTGGTCTACAACAACACAAGATACAAATAACTATACATCTCACAAAAAAAATAACACAAAGCCACAAAGTAACACAAAGCATGAGTGAAACACTAATTAATTCCCTTCTCTACACTACGCTACACTTTGTGTCACTTCCCTGCCTTTTAGATGATTCCCCTTTTTAACTTAGCCTTATTTAAAGCTTTCCTAACCCTTTTCCTAGAATTACTTGGTTTATAGGAGAGAGCCCCTAAAACATCTGCAGTAGTTGGTTCCAGAGCTGTATTGTCCTATTTACAAAGGAATATTTCCCGATATCTGTCTTTTGCTTTCTACTTCTAATTTTCCTATCATAATCGACCCTGCTCAGATAGCATGGTTTTTCTAATCTATCACCTATAGCCTCCCATGCCCATTCTCCCGTGTATGCTTTGAAGAGAGCACATACGCGAGCTATCTCTCTGTGCCGAGTCAAAGTTTCCCAGTTCGAATCATTTCTATGATGTGCAAATTTAGCCGCTGTTTTTTGCACCCAGTCTAGCGCATTTATTTGCGCTTTCCTATAAGTTTCCCAGCACGTCGCCCCGTATTCAAGAATTGGACGCACTAGCGATGTGTAGCCTAACTTTTGGTGTTGCTATTTCCCTTTTTAAGAATACGCATTGTGAAATGAAGTGCCGTCCAGGCTTTTTTAACCGTGCAGTTAACTTGATCAGCCCAACCTAAATCACTATGTAAGACTATTCCCAAGTATTTACAACTGCTCACTTCCAGAATTACTATGTCCCGTAATGAATAATTTAGTAGGTCCGTCACTCGGGCTCTCCTAAAACAAAGTGCCTTACTTTTAGCTGGATTTATTATCATCTCATTTTCAAATTCCCATTCCCCCAACCTGTTCAGATCTACCTGCAATTTCTCCGTATCTTCCTTATTTATAATTTTCCTATATATTATGCAGTCATCTGCGAAAAGTCCAATAGTTGATTCAATATTTCTCCCGTCATTTACGTATGCGAGGAAAAGTAGTGGGCCCAGTACACTTCCTTGCGGCACTCTGACGTTAGTCTGACTTCCTCTGATAGCTGACCTCCTACACTAACTCTCTGTGTATGGCCCAAAAGGAATTCCCTTATCCATACCACTACCCTTGAGTCAACTCCCGAGGCCGCCATTTTCGTATGCAGCCGATCATGTGGAACTAAATCGAAAGCCTTTGAAATATCTATTATAATGGCTTCTATCCTACCTCTCTTATCTAGTGAGTCTGCAATGTCCTGACAAACAGTGATTACTTGACTTTCACATGATATCCCGGTCTGAATCCATGTTGACCCTCGAATAACCAATCCTTATTATCCCACATTTTACTCAGGTACGATGTAATAACGTGTTCCATTTGCTTGCAGACCACCGAGGTTAAACTTACTGGTCTGTAATTCGACACCATCGATCGGTCCCCCCTCCTTGTAAATAGGAACCACTATGGCTTTTTTCCAATCAGATGGGAGAGTGGCATTATTTATTGTTACGTCCAATAATCGCACAAGGTATGGAATCGTGGCTTTCCCGCCCAGTTTTAGTATTTCACCCGAAAAGCCGTCCGGCCCTACTGATTTGTTTTTACCTAACGCTGCTAACCGTTTCCTAATGATGTTAGTATTAATCGCGAAGGGTTCACCTGAGTTGGGGCTCTGTAATTGCGGAATGCTACGCTCACAGCTGAATACCGAAGAGTAATAGCAATTAAGGGAGCTAGCCTTTTCTATTGCGTCAGTAATGAGCCGTCCATTGCCATCTTTAATTGCAGGAATGTTTTCTCTATTGCCTTTACGTCTCTTTACGTACTTATAGAACTCTGTCCAGCTCTTGCCTTCATTTTTTAATACAGACCTTAAAAATGTCTCCTGTGCATTTTTTTGGCAAATAACAACTCCTTGGATAGTCTTTTCAGATCTTCACGGTACTGATGTCCTAACTTCCTTCTATTAAGTTTTCCTGAGCTTTATTTTTAACTTTCTGACTTCCTTAATGTAGTATTCGGGGTCCGAATTTTTTCTCAGTATTTTGTGTGGAATAAATGTTTCGATACTCTCGAGTATTATGTTCTTGAAATTATTCCACACCTCCTCAACACATCTACCATTGCTTGCCCATATTGTGAATCTATCCCGGAGGAAGGTTTGTAGGCCTACAACATTTGCTTTGTGGTACACCAGGACTAGTCTTTCTTCTTGAGGTCGCCAGTAATTTTCTTCCCATTCTACCTCTAATAATACCCTGCAGTGGTCACTGATCCCCTGTAATATGCTGCAAGAGTTGAACAAACTTTCCGGCCATACTAAATAAACATCCAGCAATGCAACTTCTCGTGTCGTGGTATTTACTACCTGCATAAACCCATTTTCCCATACCAATCTATTTATGAATGCCTGGCCTCCGCCACTGCATTCCGCGTTTCCATTCCAGTCAGCATATGGCAAGTTTAAATCTCCTCCAATAATGCTATACTTTGTACATTTTCCTGAATAACGTGTTCGGGCTGCCAACCTTTCTATTGATTGCATGTCCTCGTTAGGAGCTCTGTATATGCCTACGATTTCCCATACACATTTAGGGTCCCTGCCTTTCACTTCAACAGCTATCTCAAAATCCTGGTCCACCCACTGTTCCATGCAAGCAATGTAATTTTTTACACAAATGAACACTCCACCTCGAGTATGTCTGTCTCTCCTAAATGTTGTGAAGACACCCCTAAATACTCCAGCATTGCTAATTTTCTCTCTAAGGCATGACTCCATACCTATTATAATATCGGGATTGTGTGTTTCGACTAAATTCCAAAAATCCAAAGACTTGTTAAGGATACTCCTGCAATTTACCTGCAATTGCCTGAATTGCCCTCTATCCCCTGTGCCCTACTCGTGGCTACCCTTTCATCACTTGTCCCATCTTCCGTCTCCCTCTCCGTCTTGATTCGTCCTCACTTCTTCCCTCCTTGTCGTCTGCCAGACTGGCGCCAGATGTCCTTGGATAACCATTAACCGCTTCCTTTCAGGCGTTCCCTCGCTGTTAGTACTCAGCGAGAGTCACTCTTTCGACTTTTGTCCACCTCCGCTGAAGCCACAAACTCTAGAATACAGTTGGCTTAGTCTCCTCGTTCCACTTCGGTTCATGTGAAGCCCGTCCCTGCCGAAGTCCCAATCTTCAACCCAACTGTTCAGATCTACAAACGTAACTCCCAGTGTCTTCGCTATCCAGTCGTATCTGCTGTTTATCGCTCCGATCCGCCGCCATGACACGTCTCTGCGCCTAAGTACGCCACTCAGAACCAATTTGGATTTAGGAAAATTGGTTTTTGCCTTATTTACTAAATCATACGCATCCTCCATCACATAGTCAAGATTTGCAGATCGTCTTATATCATTTGTACCCACATGAAACACTACAGTATCAGGACTTTCTAGTTCTTGGTTTCCCATTACTCTTTGCAGCTGTTCAGTTCTATTTCCCGGGAAGCATTGCACCCTCACACGTTCAGATTCCATGTTCCGTATAACTGAATCCCCCAACACTAAGCAGCCTGCATCTTTGTGTTGTTTCCGCACCGCATCACGCATGCCAGCCTCGCATCCAGCTCTCGCCCCTAGTAACTGCTCTTCCAGGCTCCTGTTCTTCCGTCTGATTTCTTCTATTTCTTGTAGAGTGTTTTCCAGTTTCACATCTAGTTGATGAAGTCTATCCCATCAGCACTTATCGCAGCTCCATTTCCTGCTTTCAACCATCTGAGCCTTGACGTTTCCACAACTATTGTGAAACCAACGTCCACACGTCGCATTGTGTTCCAGATTTTAAGTTCCTGTCACACCCACTACACAATACTTGCAGACAGTTTTCATCTTCCACACCTGGCCCAGGATTTTGTTCCACACCGCCGATTAACCTTTTGGCGCGGTGATTTAAATTCCGCTGCCGTGTCTCTCCGGCGGTAATATTCTCAGCCGACCATTTAAATTTTGCTCGTAAATGATTTATTTGTCATTATTCTTAAATTATATGAGATAGTAACATGAATCTTTCACTAAAATAATCTTAAAAGTTGGTTTTATAATCTTACCTTATAATGTGAGCGCCCTGTATCTCGGCGATGGAAGCAGCTGGTTTAGCAGCAGGTGGCACCAGTTGTGTGTAATCATAGTCCGATGCACTCTCATCATCTGAACTACAATTACTTAGGGTTTCGTCGTCTAATACTTCGTTCAGCGCGGTCACTTGTTCGACCTCCGTCAGCGCACGACTTGTGGAAGGGCCAGCCATGATACCACTCAAAGTTTCGAAGTAAACTGTTGGTGGCCTGGTGTATGGAAATTATAAAGACACGCGTCTTTAGCTTGCCAGCTTAGCTGCAGTAAATTCAACCTTTGTGTTATCATACCAATGGGTTGGTGGTATGCGTTTTGGCTGCAGCAGATGTCATAGGGGTGGCCACAAAATTCATGAAGTTATTCTAAGAAATGGCTGGTATGTAGTGCACGAAAGCAGAGCTTAACTGGCTCAAAAAAAATATTTATGGCCATCCCTCGAAACGACCACCAAGGTCAGTACGATAAACTGGAGTCAACTGGAGCGATAATACACATGAAGGAATGCGTTCTTTTCCCCCCACACACACACACCCATCGTCACAGGGGGTGACCACAGTGTTCTGCCTTAAACTGTGGCGTTTTTCTAAGAAATGGATGCTAAGTACTGTGCGAAAGCAATCAATTTTACAAGAATAAACTTTTGGACAACCCTCTTCCAAGAATTCCAAGTGATTGCGTTACTGTGGCCAGCTCAGGGTAATATGATATTATAAACATCACGTATCTGTTGTTTATATCTTCAAAGCAAAGAAAACACGCCTTTCATAACGGTACAGCTAGAAACCGCTCGCCAGACCCACAGGAAATTTGCTGCAAGACAGGCATATGTAACGATGGCTTAGCGCAGCTAAACTCGTGTCTCATTATAAACCGTTCTTGTGACAACAGGCCAGCGAAAAATCTAACAATCTACAGCAAAACCATCAATTATTATGGGCGTTATAACATAGGTGTGCAGCTGGACGAAACATACACGACGAACCCCCCCAGACGATTTAAATCCCTGACGAAACATACACGACGAACCACGGCAACGGGTTAATAATATTACAGCCAAAGTCGCTGCACACAGAAGCATGTCCCTTGTATAACTTATTGACTGCCCATTGCTGACTCGTCCTTGGGCAGTACGACAAGCAGTCCTCGCAGCCCAGGTACCCACTCGGGCTCAATAGTCTACAAGGTTGTAACCCATTAGCACCAGTAAGTAAACACGTCCGCTCCCAACAACCCTCAAGATAAGAATGAGGAAATTTAAATCAAACACCTAGAAGCATCGTACACAAAACATCGCGTCTATCCAGAAGGACAGACAGGGATCAAAAAAGATTGTGATCCAGATACATAATTTCCTGTAAGTAGGTACAATTGTCTGCCGGTCGGTCGGTCAGTCAGTGGGCCGCCGCCACTGAACAGAAAACAATGAGTTCACATGACTGATGCTCTGGCCTCCACAACTGGACTCTCACACTGGGGCAGTGAGAAGGGTCCACTCAATGTTAATTTTTTTTAGCTCCCTGCAGACTCAAATAAGTTGGAAATTGCATGTGAAACCATGGGACAGTAGCATGGAGACAGGATATATCACTGCTGCTGAAAGAATTCAGCAGATTAACAAGAGTTCAGCATCTAAGTGAAACAGATAACTCCAGAAACTACAAAGACTTCCCTGAGTTCCACATGAACAAATTCCCAAGGAGACAGCACATGATAACAGTTCCCACATAAGGCATAAATTATAATGGAAATGAGTGTATGGGCTGCCTAAACCCTGCAGCAAATAGAATGGAATGTGTGCTGACATCTTTTTTGGGCACTCAGACATGTCAATGTTGAACTAGAATCCAACATTTCAGAGACTTCCTCAGTCTCCATCATTTGAGTTGACGAGGTGAATGGCCATATCTCACTGATATTTATACCAGTTTGTCAAATTGATGCCCTTCTTATTGGTGTACTATGCAGCAGGTGGGCAGTCAAACCGTGTGGTCACCCACCCAATTTTATCCTATCAACATACTCTTTAACTTGGTGCCTCTCTAGTCATATATTTCTCTCTCTCTCTATCTCTCTCTCTCTCTCTCATCTGCATTTCTTGCAACATGTCCTACTCTGTCTTCTTGGGATTTTCGCGATGTATGTTTTGAAGTACCATAAAAATCTGGTGCTGGAATTCCATCCTTGGCTAAGTTTGAACCATTCCTCTGATTATACTGCCTGGATGCAATTTTATAAAATTACAAAATAAAATCCTTGCACGTGGCACATGGTGCTTTTTTTTTATTGCCAGTGAGGTGGGACTAAGTCCCTTGTACTGCGGCCACTTCTGGCCTATTGTACCAGCCCCAGAAGGAGGTGATTGTGGAGCAATTGGTGGAATGAAGATTGGCAGGGGAAACAAGTACTCTGAGAAAACCTGCCCCAGCACCACTCTGTTCACCACAAATCCCAGTTGACCAGACCCAGGATCAAACTTGGGCCGCCGCAGCGGGAAGCCAGTGACTAACCGCTTGAGCTATGGCACGGCCATATATGTGCTTACAATTATCATTCCTAGTGTGACATCATACAAAGAAAAATTAAAATGTATCTCAAGCACAAGGATTAAAAGGATGTGAACTGGACAGCAGGCTAGTGCTGTGCTTTACTGTCAAGATAACACATCTGGGCTTCTGATGACACAAGAGTGAAGGGCATGTTCATTGTGTGTAGGCAAGCCTCACCTTTATCATGGCGGCATCCTTTGGTACAGTATCTTTTGCCTCCTCCTCTCTGGACATGAAACTCTCTACAGGGCACTCATGATTTCCCCCTTCTCATGCTCTCTCTGGGAATGTGGTTCACTCCCCTACTCTGAGAGTTCATTCTCAAATCTAAGTACATCATCTCTTGCTTTGGGAACCAGTGCACTGAAAGAAAAATATACAATTTACTAATTATGAATGAAGACTGCCCTTCTTCTGTCTAATAAGGCCAGAGTGTCAGCAACTTCACAAATTCCTTTTGACTGTACCCTCGTAGTATATTTTGGGCTTAGAATAAGGGTGCCAAAATATGTTCTTTATCTGTTTCTGCACATTACACATGAATATAAATCATTTTCATTAAATGGTTAATATATTCAGACCAAGGATAAAACTGCACAAGTCACTAACTTTAATTAATTCATCTGTGATGAGAGGGCAAGCACATTTCTGGAGTCCAAACCCAAAAATAATTCATTGTACTGGGAGGTTTCTAATGAACTTCACATGTTCTAGGTTCCATGTTTCACCATAACAGGAGCATGGTCAGCCGTGGAGCACGCTCAAATTTTGCAGATGACTCAGCATGCCTATAACATTAGGAATGAAGGGAAGTTCCTACCTTTGTTCAAATCACAGGTGGTGTTGAAAATGCTGTCCCTCTACACAAATATCTTTCTGAATTGTTTCATTA